TCCAGAGGTGTCAGGACGAGCGGATGGAGCAGGCTCCCCTTGTTTGTTTTGGTCCCTCACATCATTCAATTTTTTTTGCAGGTACGCCAGATCGCGTCCCTCACCGAGCGGTGAAGAACGAGACTGCCCGCGCGGTGCGTGCTGAGCAGAAAGTGCACCGAGCTGACGGTGGGGAGGCTCAAGATCGCGGAGCTGCAGAAGGAGCTCGACAAGGCGCATGTGTTGTTTACGGGCTTCAGACTGTGTTTTTTTTCCGTGGAGGCAAACACGCCGAAGAGGGTGCGGAAGGAGCTCGACAAGGTGCCTCAGGTGCGTTCGTGACCCACTCCTCTGTTTTTTTTCTTTTCTTTCGTAGGCGGACACCTCGAAGAAGACGCGGAAGGAGAAGGAGACCAGGCCTGTCACGGCCCCATTTGCCTTTGAGTTGCATCAAACCCTCACTTGTGCGTCAATGTCATCCATTTTTTTACAGCTGTGTTCCTGCTCACCTGAGATGCATTGTCCCCCGTCAGGTGGCCATCTGAGGAGCATTGGTGGCCCGCGCCGGCCTTGCTCTCTTCTTTGATTGAGTTGTGCCCCCTGCACATGTGTCAAGGTCGTCCATTTTTTTGCAACAATCTACGGGAGGCGTGATGTTTGATTGTGCATTCACACTGCATGGACACTCTGAGAGGGCATCCGCGATTTGGACCGCCGGCAACGGCAAAACGGCTGCTCGAGCAGCCGACAATGTCGTGTCGTGTGTTGGGCGGGGGGTGGCCGCTGTGAAAGTGGCGGCCACTGTATAAGTGGCGGGGAGGGGCCACTGTTCAAGTGGCAGGCCACTGTACAAGTGGCGGGTGGTAGGGGGCCACTGTTCAAGTGGCAGGCCACTGTGTAAGTGGTTGAGCGTGCGTTTTAGGGTAGGACGTGCCGAGCGGGCACAGTGCCGAGCGGGCACTTTAGGTTAGGAGTGCCGAGCGGGTACGGTGCCGAGCGGGCACGTAGGATAGTACGGGTTCGCCAACGGCCCAACGGCCCTTAGTACGAGTTCGCCCAACGGCCCTTAGTACGAGTTCGCCCAACGACTCATGGTACTGGTTCGCCCAACGGCCCTTAGTACAAGTTCGCCCAACGACTCATGATACTGGTTCGCCCAACGACTCATAGTCTGGTTCGCCCAACGGGCCCTTGATACTGGCTCACCCAACTGTGCCCGTTTTCTCGAGGCTTCAATGCCAGGTAGGCGCCGAGGCTTCGATGCCAGGCTGGTTACCTGGTTGGTGCTCCCGGGTCCCGAGCCGTGGCCGTTTGTCCGTATGATCCGTATGATCCGTATGATCCGTATGATCGTATGACTCAGCTGAGGCTTCAATACCAGGCTTGCCGAGTCATACGGATCATACGGATCATACGGATCATACGGTCATACGGTCATACGAATTGCTAACTTGCACAGTGACCGCGCCCCGCTGCGCCCATTTTGTCAACCACTCATGGGGCAGGTTTTTCAAGTCACAAAGGTGTCACCAGGTATAGCGGAGCTTGACGCATGATTTCCTATGTGTTGGCTCTATGGTTAAGCCCACTGCGCGTGACGGTGCGTGAGAAGGCTGAGAATCGGGCTGAGAAGGGCGGGTGGTCCGTGGTCCTGAGCTTGCACGCCCTTGCCGTGCCTCAGTGCCTTTCCTGACAAATGTTATGCTGCAGTTGCGTGCTGGCCCCCATGCTGGCTGCTGGCTGTGTCTGAGAGTGTCAGTGTCAGTCACTGCGCGGGCCGCCGGCCCGGCGCGGGCTCAGTGGTTTGTTGGGCCGCCGGGGGCCGCCGTTGCGCACGCTGCACAGAAAACAAGCAGACACGCAGAAGACAAGCAGACTGACTCAGACTGACTGCAGCAGACTTGCCGACGCGCCCACAGTACTCAGTACTCAAGTACTCACAGACGACTCACAGATTCAGACTCCAGACTTTAGACTCACTGAGTCTGCTCCAAATGTGGCCCGCTTGGATGTTTGGGTTTCTTGATTCCTGTTCCTGACACTTGCCCAGATGTTTGGTATCTATTGATTATTTTTTTCACTTGCCGCGATTGTTTATTTGAGGGGTTTTGTGACACTTTCTGACAACCGTGTCCGTTATCAAGTTGAACATTTCGGAGAGAGGGGCGGGCCCCGGGTGTACAATGACTTTGATTTATATAAAGATTTACCCGTTGGAAACTAAGCCAACAGTGAAGGAGTGAGCGGGTGTCGAGTAGAAAAGCTCAAAAGTTGATTTCGTGAAACCCAAAAGGAGCCAACATCTTCATGACTTGATTCGTGCTTGGTTTTGGGGTTTGCCTTGTGGTCCGTGAAGATGACATGAACCATGAAGGACCAAAACGCAAGTCAAGCAATTTGCTCTCTGCATGCTTGTTTGTTTTCATGTCTTCGGCAAACTCGGCTTCTTCGCTGCTCTGTGCGAAACAATGCGTCGCTCTTTTGGGCAATCTGAGCCGGCCGAAGACGATGTGTGCGCATTTGCTCATGCTGGAAGGCGGCTCATGATGACGGCCCCTGGTTGTTTAGGGGCTTCAACTTCAACCTGAGAGCTTGCTCGGGCAGGCTTGGTGCGAGAGGCTACCGGCTACACATGATAGCAACCAGAGCAAAAATACCAACGCCGCTGTGAAATAAAAACCATCAAAACAACGCCACATCACGCCAGGGAACTCAAGGCAACAGGCCTAGCAATCACCTTCAGAAGCTGCCGCAGCGGACAAAGCGATGGCTTGGGCTTCAGAGCCACTGCCACTCACGTGCGGCTCCTTGATTGAGGGTTGTGCGACTGCATGCCATTCTTCATTCGTTTCGCTTTCAACATGACTACTTGCTGAGGGCTTCATGGAGCACACGCTGCACGGCGACGGCGTGACGGGGCGGGCCAGTATTTGGACCCAGGCCAATGCTCTTTTTTGCGCGTCTCATGAGTGTGCTTTGGCAGGTCTTGCTGAAGGTCGTGCTTGACACAGGCCCAGGCCCAAGCCCTGTTTGAGCTGCAGTTCCAGGTTTTCTGATTGTTTGAAGTGCTTCATCTCACTGCAGACTACTTGGATCCAGGCCATTTTTCTTTCATCGTGGAGCGAGGTTTTCGCACGCTTGCTGTGGCAGGCTTGGCACTCTGCTTGCACTTTGCCCCGGTTTCTGCAGTGTTTTGAGGCGCTCGAATTCTCGACGCAGACTTCTTGGATCCAGGCCAATATTCCTTCATCGTGGAGCTAGGTTTTCGTATGCTTGCTTTGACTCTGCTTGCACTTTCCTCGGATGTCTTGCAGATTTTTGAGGCGCCTGCATTCTTGATGCAGACTACTTGGATCCAGGCCATGGTTCTTTCATCGTGGAGATAGGCTTTCGCGCTTGCTTTGGCAGGCTTGGCGCTCTACGTGTTTGCCCCGATTTCTTGCAGTTTGAAGAGCGTGGGCATTCTAACCAGACTTCTTGGACCCAGGCCATTGTTCTTTCATCGCGGAGCTAGGTTTTTGCACGCTTGCTTTGGCAGGCTTGGCACTTTGCTTGCCCCAATTTCTTGTAGTTTTTTGTGGCGCTTGCTTTCTCAATGCAGACTTCTCCGGATCCAGGCCATAGCTCTTTCATCGTGGAGCTGGAGCTCGGTTTTAGTACGCTTTGGCAGGCTTGGCAGTTTGCTTGCACTTTGCTCAATTTCTGTTTTTTGTGGCGCTCACATTCTCAATGCAGATTTCTTGGATCCAGGCCATTGCGCTTTCATCGTGGAGCTGGAGCTCGGTTTTCGTACGCTTTGGCAGGCTTGGCACTTTGCTTGCACTTTGCTAAATTTCTTGCAGTTTTTTTGGTGGCGCTTACATTCTCAATGCAGACTTCTTGGATCCAGGCAATTGCTCTTTCATCGTGGAACTAGGTTTTCGCAGGCTTTGGCAGGCTTGGCACTTTGCTTGCATTCTGCCCCGATTTCTTGCAGTTTTTGAGGCGCCTACATTCTCAACGCCGACTTCTTGGATCCAGGCCATTGTTCTTTCGTCGCGGAGCTAGGTTTTCGTATGCTTGCTTTGGCAGGCTTGGCACTTTGCTTGCGCTTTACTTGGATCCAGGCCATTATTCTTTCACCGTGGAGCTAGGCTTTCCTACGCTTGCTTTGGCAGGCTTCGGCTTCAGCTTTCAATGTGGACTTGGGGCCGGTATTTGGAACCAGGCCATTGTTCTTTCCTCGTGGAGCTTTCGTACGCTTGCTCTGACAGGCTTCAGCTTTCAATGTGGACTTGAGGCCACTGTTCTTTCACGGTGTTCTTTGTTTCGTGCATTCTGTGGCAGGCTTCAGCTTTCAATGTGGGCTTGGAGCCGGTATTTGGAACCAGGCCATTGTTCTTTCCTCGTGGAGCTAGGTTTTCGTACGCTTGCTCTGGCAGGCTTCAGCTTTCAATGTGGGCTTGGGGCCGGCTTTGGAACCAGGCCATTGTTCTTTCACCGTGTTCTTTGTTTCGTGCATTCTGTGGCAGGCTTCAGCTTTCAATGTGGACTTGGGCCGGTATTTGGAACCAGGCCATTGTTCTTTCATGTTGAAATTTGTTTCGTGCATTGGCATTTTCAGGTCTGGCAGCTTCTGGCGACTTGCTGGAGCTTGCGCCCGACAGAGGCCTAAGCCTTTTATTGACTCAATGGGTTTGGGCCTGACACGTATTTTGTCATGTGTATGCCTGGGCAAGTCTGCCACGGTCGCAGTCAGGTTGCGCGCTTTGCTTGCGATTTTTTGTTGCTTGGAACCTTAACCTGGGTTTGGGGTTGATGCAGAATCTTGGAAACAAGGGCATTGTTCTAGTTGCTTCAGGGCGACCCAGTGGGTGGACTTGGCCATCGCTCCTGGCAGGAGCTTGAGAATTGAAAGTTGTTAAGCACGTGCAGCCTGCGCCAAGGCTTGGGCTTTTGGGATGATCTGCCTGAGCCGAAGCGCTTCCGCCTTGTTTTGCATTGCCGCGTGTGATTTGGATTTGGTTTGCTTGCCTTCGCAGGCTTTGCAGCGTGTTTTTGACTGTGGTTGCGGCCGCAAGGTGGCTCGTGCAGCGTGTGTGGTGAGTGTGCAGTCGAGCGATGGATCCGATGGACACTGCTATCTTCAGGATGGCCTTGGAGGTGGCAAAGGAGAACAGGACGCAGATGCACCCGACCGAATGGGCGGTGTGGCAGTATCACTTGGACAACTGTCCGGAGATCCAGGATGAGTAGCTTGGCCACGAAAGGAGATCTCCTTGAGATTGAGATTGATTTGCAGCAAGCTTGAGATTGAGGCACATGCCGCGGCACTTCGAGGTGAATGAGGATGACCCAGCAGCTCGCGATTTTTTTGTGGCTTTGAACCATGTAGTCTTCAGCAAGGTGCTTGCGCAGCCTGGCTTGATTCAGTTGTGCAGCCTCTCGTGTTTGTTTTTACTTGACGCTTTGTGCCTGCGGCTCTGAGGGATGCCTGCGACTGCTTGCTGCTGGAGATTCAGAAATGGGTCGGAGAGTTGGAAGCGGAGAAGAAGGATGTGGAGGCAGTTCTTCGGACTGTGAACAGTGAGTATTTCCGCGCTGAAGGACGATTCTACAGGTGCCGTTTGAAGTTCAGGCAGAAGGATTACTATTGTCAGCTGAGCGGTCCAGCAGAGAACCTGTTTGTTTCCACGAACGGCAAGGTCGCCATCATGGCTTCGGGGATTTTCCTTCGAGATGCTGATGCGGAGGACGCCGCAAGGCCGCGAGTCGCGAGTGCGAGGGCTGCAAGGGGTTCCTGAGCCTGATGAAGAGGTGCCCACACGCTGTGTGAAAATGGCCTTGCCTTGCCTGCTCAATTGAATCAATTGTGGAGCTTGAAGTTGCAGGTTACAGGTTGAAATTTGCTTGAAGCGCTTGCCAGGGGCCCGGCCACCTGGTCACCTGGCGCTCTCCAGAGATGCGCAGTGCCACTAGCTCAGATGCTTCGCCGCGTGAGTCTTGCTTGCTCAAAAGTGAAGCTGCGCTTCAAGTTGAAACTTGCTCCGAGCGCATGCTACAGCTGGCAAAGTTGAGCATGGAATGGAATTCTTTTTTAAACAAAAGTACTACGCCAAGTGCGCTCCCATGAGCTGGCAAAGTTGAGCGTGGGCGTGGATTTGTTTTTTAAACAAAAGTACTACGCAAAGTGCGCTCCCATGAGCTGGCAAAGTTGAGCGTGGGCGTGGAATGGACTTGGTTTTTAAACAAAAGTACTACGCAACGTGCACTCCCATGAGCTGGCAAAGTTGAGCGTGGAATGGATTTGTTTTTTAGAGAAAAGTACTACGCAAAGTGCGCTCCCATGAGCTGGCAAAGTTGAGCGTGGAATGGTTTTGTTTTTTTTGACAAAGGTACTACGCAAAGTGCACTCCCATGAGCTGGCAAAGTTGAGCGTGGAATGGATTTGCTTTTTTAGACAAAGGTACTAGCCTTTGAGTCTTCGCACACTACGCTTGCGCGCATAATCATAAGTTAAGATTTTCAAGTTGGAGATGCGGAAGCGCGATCAGTTGCAATTTGCAATCTGGAGATGATGGAGCACACTCTCTCGAATATTACTACTGCGCGTAAAATCGGTGATTTTCAAGCAGGGGCTGCGAGAGCGCGCGTCGCGTGCGACCTCTGCGTGTAGAAACTTAAGGATGTTTCAGCCGGAGCCTTCTTGCGCAGCCAAACTGCGCACTAATTTGGACAAGTCATGCGCATCACCCACGGCCCACGGCGCCAAGCGCAGTAGCATCAATGCACAACATCGCACGCGACAGAAACTGACACGAGAAATTGCGAAGCATGATGCTAAGCTTGCTGCTCACCAGAACTTGCAGAAGCTAGGCTAGGCTTGAGCAGGGACATGGACGTGTTTACGCTTTGTTTCTCATAAGGTGGGACGTGTTTGTTCCTTTGCTTATCTAGTTTCCGAATGCGCTTTGCGGGGCTGGCTGGCTTCCTGGTGTTCAGGGCCTTGGGCTTAGACCTTGGTTTCAGACGGAAAACGAAAGCGAATGTTACTGCTAAATCAGGGATTTTTGAGGAGGGCATTTTTTCAACAAATCACTTTTCAAAAAACACGCCTTGCTCTGCAATCTTTACTTTTAGTTTTGCCAGCTCTTTAGCACCAAGCCTCGTGGGACGTGTTGCGCGCCAGGAACCCAGAGCTCAGTGAGCTCAGAGCCGGGATGATGCCAGGGAGCCAAGCTGTGTCGTTGCAGCGTGTGATCTATTGTGCTTGGGTTCAAGCTTCGAGTGTCTCAGCCTTTCGGATGTCAAGCGCTAGCCTCTCATTTGTCAAACCGTCAAACCAGTTGTCAAGCATCTAGCCTCTCAAATGTTTGAGCCCATCATTTAATGTTGCAATAACCGCGCCAAAAACGAGGCAATGGAGTATGGGTCCGGTCCGCTTGCAAGCTCCACAAGCGTTTGCAGCGCTCGTGTGCTCTCGTCCTTTGCAGTCCCGGCGGCGAGCACGCAGGCAGAACCAAGCGTGGCTGGCCAAGGTTGCTGAAAGATTGCAAACCGACTTTCGTGATGTGTGCATGGACGGGAGGTGCGTTGTGTACAGCCTTGCAGTGCTTCGACTTTGTCCATCTGGAACCTGTCAGTGTCACCATCTAGTGGAAGATGATTTTTTGTGGCAACAAGTGGAGGGCAACTCTTGGCAGAGAGCTCAGTTTGATATTCTTGCAATGTTGCCACTGCAGCAGCACGACATGGTGTGCTTGTCGCATAGCGCCCAACCAACACCACGGCTGGCGTTTTTTCCATTGGCTGAGAGAACGAGCGCCTGGGCGCAAGCTGTTGGAGCTGATTTTTTGCAGGGCTGCCTTGACTCCGGCCTCCTTCCTCAGAAGCATGGCCTGTTCGTGCGCTTCGCTTGCAGCCTTGAACGGGCCCTCGCAATGCTAGTGTCTGCCAAGAAGGTGCAGTTTGTTGGAATATGCCTGAAGAGGCGATATCCACGTCGGTTTCCGCAAGCTGAGTGGATCAAGGCGCTGAAGAAGCGCAGCCAGAGCTTGCAGGACGCTGTTAACAAACAAGGCAGCAAGGCAAATGTCGCGGAGCACACAGCCATGCTGAACTCTCAGGCCTTCAGCTCTGTTGCCGAGGTGCTTACCAAATGTGAAAATGGGCAGCGCCCAGCCGATCAAGTTGATGAGGTCTGCAACGAAGACGAAGACTTTGAGCATGAGTTGGCCATGTGCAGAGCTTGGGCGAGCCAGATGGCGAGTCTTTTTCATCCCTGGCAGATGGAAGCAGCGCGGGTGGAGCGAAGCAAGGTCAACAAGACTTTGCTTGGCGCAGGTGAACAATCTTCTCACCTTTGTTGGCACGGCCCCAACGCGCGATTCACAAGCTGGTTTGTTCTTCAATGCGTTTTGCTTAGCTTAGAGTTGAAGAACGCCGACCATCTGCAGGCAGTGCTGAAGCGGTCTATCATGGTGGCTTTTCCCAGTCAAGTGGCGTATGCGCTTGTGCGCGCAATCGAGGACATGCCAATGCCGCACGCGTCTTCTGTGTCTCGATGGAGGTTGCAGGTCGATAGTGCCTTTTTCCTGCTGCAGAGAGCCATGTTTTGTCTCAAGCTTGGCCTTGCAGTCCCGTCAGTGTGCAAATCTTGCTTCGACCCCGACCAAACAGCACTGCGTGATTTCCACTTGTATTTGGTCACTGACAGCTCTCCTCAAGGTGGGAGAGATTGGCTGATAACAGAGGTACACATTGTTGGAACCAACGACTTGGCCCCTGATTGCGCGTTGCAGCTTTTTTTGGAACAGTTTGAGGCGCGACGGCTTCGTGAGACATCCACTGACGTCAATGCTGAAGCTAGAATGTTGGAGACGTTGCAAAGCATTCAGGATAAGCTGCGGACAGGGTTTGATGTTCAGTTGGCAGCGCCTGCAGGCCTTGGCTTCCAGCGCACCAACACGCACCACAAGTTTCAAGCCTTGGCCCACCAGATGTTCCTTTTGGCTGGCGATGCAACGCCCGCCTTTGCAGAGCGGGTCTTTTCTGTTACCACTGACTTTGGAACTGAAAGCGGCCTGAGCAGGCAGCGTGCCCCACTATTTGCAGTGTTGCCTTATGCTGCGCTTGACGGCGAGCTTGCGGAGCACGGGGATGCACGATGCTTTACTTTGCAAAAATCATGGCAGGTCCCTGGAGTTTTGCACATATGCCACAATGTTTGCCATGATGTTACAGATTCTATGGAGCACTTTGAGGAGTTCAAGGCTCACATGTGCGCGCTGGCAGCTGTACTCTCAGACAAGATCCTCAGGCAGGGGATGCAGGCGCTTCTGTTCAGTAGCGGCCCAGCAAGCGTTCATTACGCCAAGTTTGCTGCTTTTGGTGAACGCATTCTGGATCACAGATGGCAGTCTGTTTCCATATTCCTTCGAGAGTTTGAGCCGCTGGAGCAACCTCTCCGTGAATATTGGAATCTTGAGGCTATGAACAGACGGGGCCGTGGGAGTGATGGTCAGTCTGCAAAACGTCTTCACGCGTTTGACGCTGCTATGACATGCCAAGAGCTGTGGCCGTACTTGCAGATGCTGAGGGCCTTGTTCCAGGTTGTGGACGCAATCTCAGAGTGGGCGCAGGCTTGTGCCTGCCATTGGCGAAGAGGCGCGTCGAGCCCCAGAGCTCGTGTGGCGAGATCAGCAGTTTTCTGGACCGAGTTCAGTGGCGCTTTCGCTTCACCTCAGTTCGATTGGTCCCAAGGGCTTCAGAGAATGCCCTTGAGTTGAAGTTTGGGTTCTGGACGACGCTCCCTCACGCGCTGGCTGGGTTGTGCCACCCCTGCGATGACAAGGCGCGCCTCTGTGCCCGCAATGTCCTCGCTCAGTGGCAGTGTTTGAAGGAAAGCGGCAGTGAGTGTTTGCACGCATCTCGGTTTTCGCTTTGCAGGAAGCTCCTTGATGCAGGAGAGTTGCGGGAGCTTACGCTGCGCTTCATGCGTGGTGAATTGAGTCGCACTGATGCAGACATGGCAGAGTGGCGCAAGGCCCTGGCTCCAGTCTCCTTTATTCCAATTGTGGAAAGAAGCGTCGAAGGCAGGCACGCTCAGATACACCGAATTGTAGCTCGAGCTCCAAACCACTCTGGAGCCTTGCTATCTTTGTCTCTGCGGACGCCTCTATTGCTAAATCCTTTGCAGTGTGACAGCAGTCGGCTTGGCGCTGATGCTGGTGTATTATCCAAAGTGGCTACGATTTTGGCGCAGTGCAGAGACGCAAAATGGCTTTTGAAGCATTTGGGCTTGCTGGGCCACCCTGCAGTTGGTGAGGCAAAGAAGGCCACCTTTCCCGTGGCAGACAAAATTGTGTACAGGTGTGACCGCCAAACCCAGTTTCGGAACTTTGAAGACATGTTTTCCTTGACCAGCTTCAGCAAAAAGAAGCCTCAGCTGGCGCTTGCAGATGCGGACCACATTACGCAGCACTTCGCCTTGGAGCACTGGAGGCAAACCGGATCCAGCGCAACTGCGCTCTACTATGCAGCCCTTGTGCCTCTCGCAGACACCGATGCCCGCTATGACAGTGACAGTGATTTGTTCAGGCTCATGCAAGATGTTTTGGCTGCGCCATCTTTGAGCACGAGCCCTTCGCTGGCTTTGGCGGTGGACGATGCTGGATTCCAGTTCCAGATCACTGAAGATGAGACTGCCGGTTTGACCAGGTCAGGAGCTGCGCAGGTGGCCATAGTCCCCGAAGATGGCTTGTCTAGGTGCACACTCTTCAGAGTGAACCACTGGTATCCTTCGCGAATGAAACAAGTTCAAGGCAACTTCCAGGCTTCGCTTTGCGCGAAGGATGTGGCGGTGAGTTTGTACGCAATAGCGGAGCTGGATTCAGACACTCAGGTGCTTCGCACAACTGGGGTGCCAGAAGGTTGCAGGGCTGAGCTGAGCAGCAGTTTTGGTTCGCTTGTTTTCTTTGTTAGTTTGTTGTGCCGTTTGTTCGCCCACAAATTTCAGATTCGGCTTTGTTAGGCAAGTCCGGGACTGCAGCCACGGCTGTGGCATTGGTGAATGAAGCTTTATTTCGGGACAAGGTGTTTGTGTTCGCCACTGACCCGGAGCCCACCTTTGCGCTGCGAGGAAATTGGCCAGCAAAGTGGTCCGAGGCAGTTTCCAGGCTGTTTGCAGCAAAAGCTTTGCCGGACTCGAAAGAAGCCCACAAAGTTCAAGGCAGCGTGTCTGGCCAAGCAGAAAGGCTGATACTGGCAGAGATGGAAAGGGAAGGGCTTGCAAAGGAAGATTTTGCAGAAGAGACAGCTGCCACCAGCAGCAACTGGCGCCTAACTCCCAAGGCTGTGGAGCAATCTCAGCAGTTGTTCACGCTCCGAAGTCCATGCTCTGTTTTGGCCCACAGGAATTTGCCAGAGAAGCTTGAGTGGACCCGCTTCGAAATTGCCCAGCACTTGAAGAGCAAGGGATGGGCGTCCGTGAGCATTCGGAAGATTCCACCAAGGTTGAGGTCAGATCTGTCTTTGCATGTGGAGGATGTGGGCGAGGGCCATATCCTTTCAGAGTTTGGGCCTCCTCACAAAATGTGGGTGTACAAGGCTGGCGTACCAAGTCACGCTTATTTGTCAGCCATGCTGGCTGTTGAGCTGAGGCGTGATATGCTATTGGCGTGCGGAATCCAGGCCCTGCCGCACACGCAAACTGAACAGTTTTTCAAAATTTTTGCAGAGGCAGCGTGGGAGAAGAGACCGCTGGACGATTTCTTGCGCATGCAGGACGACCAGCAGCCAGCAAGGCCAGCGAATGCCAACGTTTTGCCCGACCCGGAAGCTTGTTCTGATGCTGATGGCAACTCCGAAAACTTGGACCCAGAGATTGCAGAGTTTGAGAACTCGTTGGAAGCAGAGTTGGAAAAGTTGTTGGCGGAAGAGGAGGCTGAACATCCGGATGCGCCGGCCGCAGAAGCAAGTGCTGATGAGAGGGCAGAGGTTTCAGGTGAAGTCGCAGGTGGCAGCCGTGATGCAAGAGACAGCGCGGGGGAGGATGTGGGCCCTGATACGGCTGCGACAAAGCGCGTGGTCAGAGAAAAAACTCACATGTGGGGGCCATTCCGAATCACCCACAAACTTACGAAGGCTGGGAAGGAAAGCTGGCAGGCCATTTGCTTGGCGCACAGAGACGAGAGCGCGCGCTGCACAAAGAGTTTGTCCTTTGCTGCAGCCACAGAGGAGCTGCCCAATTCATATTAACCAGACAGTTTTTCTGCAAGTGGCTTTGCTTTCTTGTTGGTTTATGTTGTAGGTCACCACCCTTTTTGTTTTTGCTTGAATGCCATCCTCTGAGGATTACTTTGCGCAGAATACATCATTGGTGCAACATGGCAACATCCTACGATTCGAAGAGCGCCCACCAATCTTTCAACGCGTTGGAGAGCACTTTGCCCAGCGAGGAGGCTGTCAACCGCCAGCGGCCTGCAGATGACGAAGTGCCAGAGCCAGCTAGGAAGAGACCTGCAAAGGGGAAACCTTCAAAGGCTGGAGCAAAGGCAAAGGTTGCGCCTGCAGCAAAGGCCTCCTGCTGCTGCGAAAGCAGCAGCAGCAGTAGTAGCAGTGAGAGCAGCAGCAACAGCTGTTCCGAGAGTTCCACAAGCGATTCAGAATGAAGCTGCGCCCGGCCCAGCAAAAAGAGCCAGACCGTTCCATTTCGGTGCTTGATTTACTTCAGATGGGTCATAACCTATGCCTCCATTTTGAAGCATTTTGGAGCGGATGAGTGTTTTTCAGCACGTCAGCCAAGGGCCTTTGCCAGGGGTTCCGGAACCCCCATTTCATGAACTGAGGCAGCTTTCTCCCCCAGATTTCCTGTACTTAGGATTTTTTGGGGGTTCTGGCTCTGCGTTTGGGTTTTCTTTGCGTTCCAGAAACTCAATTTGCGCAAAACCAGTTGGGTGCAAACTTCCCCGGAACCCCCCGGAACTTCCCCCTGAACCCCCCGATTCTCCCCGGAACTTCCCCGGAACTTGTGAAAATCTGTCCTGGAGAAAGTGGTTCCCTTTCTAAAATGCTCTTTGGGCCAAGCTCCCCCCCAGGAGCCAGGAAATCCGGCAGGTTCTGAAACCTGCAGAAACACCTCAAATCCCCCGGAACTACTGGTTTCCCCGGAACTCCCCGGAACTTTTGTCCGCAAGTGGCAGTCCGCAAGTTGCGCCCTGCCGTTGTGGTCGGTCCTGAGGCATCCGCACCCTTTGCGGCAGAGACAAGGCCGCGGTGGCAGTTTCCCAGCCAGAGTCCAGAGCTCCCCGGAATTGGCCCGGAATTGTCAGGCCAGAGCTTCTGGCTCCAGCCGGAAGATCCAAGGCCTTCGAAGTTGGTTGAGTGTGCTTGTGCTTCTGCAGTTTGCTGTGCCAGGCAACCGGCCAGCCACAAGCGCCTTCTGGAGCCAAGGTTTGGCCCTCAGGTCTGTTCCATGTCCGCACCAAACTTGCCTGTCAAAGAGGTGATGATTTCTTGCAAGAGCTTTGGCCTTGGCCTTTGGTTGCAAAGCTTGGCTCGAGGCATTTCTGGAAGCTGCAAAATATTCTGTTGGCGATGGTGGCCATGTGCTTTCAGTGGATCCTGGCAGGCTCCTATTTTCCGGAAGAGGTGTTCGTGGCAGCGGCTTGCGTTGCTTTGGCTGTTGGTTTGGGAAGCTGTGCAAGCTTGTGGACTTGCAGCAGACGCGTGCCAGGGCAGCCTCAGCAAGCTCGTCGTTCTCTGTGGCAGCCTGAAAGTCCTGAGACTGATGGCCAATGCCTGCAGTGTTTGTGCGCTGAACAGCGCGTGCGAGAGTTGGAGAAGGAGATCAAGGAGTTGCGTGCTCGGCGCAAAACCAGTGCTTTTCCGGAAAGCAATGCGAGCCACAGCAGCTTGCCCCAGGAGGTGTTTGTGGCAGCCCAGCAAAGCAGAGGGCCGCGTCATGTCTTTCATGTAGGCTGCCATCACCTGAGACGAGCCGATGTTGATTTCAAGCGCTTTGTGCCTTGCAAGGAGTGCGTTCGAAACTCAATTTAATTCAGACGAGCCACTCGGCCACTCTTAGGGTTTGGGGACTGGGGATGCGCTGTTGTAAAAAAGTTCGGTTGGCAAGCTTGAGTCCGTTTGCGATTGATTGAGATCTGCACGTGCAGACTTGGCTTCTTTTGTCCTGTGTGCGGAGGTAGAGTGAGAGTGCCTGGTGGCTTCTGCGGGAGGCTCGCTGTCGATTGCTTGGTGTGTTTGATTGACTTTGTCAGCAGATGTGATTGCATTGCACCACATGTCACATGGCTGACATGGCTCATTTAGCGTGATTCCCCATGGCAGATTGCGGCGAAGAGTTTGAGTTGGATTTGGAAGAAGCACCAGCGGCGCCGAAGGCAAAAGCTGGTGGAAAGAGGAAGGCGAAAGCCGGTGCCGGTCCGAAAAGAAGGAGTGCTCCACCTGAGACGCCTGAGAGGCCCTCTGGGAGCGAAGGCGGTGGGGGTCCAAAGGGCTCGGGCCGCAAGGTGTGCCCCATATGCCAGAACCCTTCCCAGCAAGTTCTGGCCAAGCATCCGTGGTGCAAAGAATGCAAGTGTGACATAGAGGGCTTGAAGGCTGACAGCGTCAAGAACGGTTGGAGCGCAAGGTATGAAGAAGTTCGTGCTGCCGGCGGTGAGGTCTTCAGGAAGCTCGTGAGAGACTACCACAACCAATGTCCGAGCGGAGGGCGCGGCAAGGCTCGAGCAAGTTACAAGCTGGCACGGCTTGAGAGCATAGAAGCCTTCAGCAAGAAGCATCAGACCGGCAGCGCAGGCAAGCTTGTGGACTGGTTCGACTTCCAGGCTTACTTCAAGAAGAAGTTGCTCTCAACGGAGGACAGACAAATAAGTAAGTAGGCAGAATGCAACAGTGCTCAGTGCCCAGTGCGTGCTTTGTGTTTTGAATTTTGAATTTTGCGAGCCTGCGAGCAATGAGCAAGGTGTCACGGTGTCAACCGAAAACCCGGGGAACCTCAGTCGCCTCTGGCGCGTTTGCCGTTTGCCAGCAGGAGATAGAGAAACGCTGGGGCGCAGCAGTTGCAGCTGGAGTGGTTGACTACGAAGGAGACAACCCAAGCTACCCTGAACGAGTTCGGTTGAAGACCAAGGACTTCTTCCAGGAGTTCGACGAGGCAGCGGTCACCAACCAATGCCGCAAAGAGGGGGCAGTCTCCAAAGGCGACGCAGCTGTGGCAAACTTGGCAGCCACACTTGAAGCTCCAGAGGAAGCGCTTCAGTTGCCAGTGTCAGTGTCAGCCAAAGCCAAAGCCGCAGCCAAGGATGGCCAGGGTCCTGGCAAAGGAAGTGGTCCGGAGCACAGCGAAGTGGCCGGTGCGAACACTGCGGCGTTTGCAGTGGAGCGGCTCAAAGCGTTCGAACAGTGGGCCCACCAGTTTGAGGTGGTGCTCCTGATGCCGTTTCGCAAGAACTACGACACGTTGAACGCGCAGGCTTGGTCACCAGGTCTGCTGCATGCTCGTCGCTCGTGCTTGAAGTGCTTGAAGTCTGAGTCTGTTTGCGGCATTGTCGGTCTCGACTCTCAAGGCATCGTTCAATCATGCTAAGCGTTGAGGCACGTGCAAGTTTCAGTTGTTTGCATGTTGTCATGGTTGTCAGTTTGGTGTGAAATCTCATTTGTTTTTTTCAGGTGGCAGAGCTGGACACTTCGGAGTCTGAGTTGCTGGAAGAGTACAAGAAATTGGTGAAGGAGCGCTTGGATGTTGCAGGGGCTGCCCTTGTTGAAGCCCCAAGCAAAGTCCAGGAGGCAGTGAAGATTGGCGAGAGCAAGTACAAGGAGCACGATGCCAAGATTGCCAGTTGTGCCGGCCAGCTCAAACTCAAGCCCTGTGCGCAGCCCGATTGTCTCTGCAGCTTTGGCTCACTGGCGCTTCGCATCCTGAGTTTGAAGACCGCAGAGACGCAAGATGACCTGCAGACGATCATCAATGTGATTGCCGGCGGAAGCACTGCGCTGAAGCAATTGAACAGCGCAGTTTCAACTGCCATGCAAGAGGTTTTGAAGGCTGTGAAAGACTGCCGGCAGAGAGAGAAGTTGCGCAAGAAGCAAGAGGACTCGGGCTCAAGTCGAGCGGCTCGAACATGTAGCTTTTTCTGTTTGAATTTGCGTGTGCGGTGTTTTTCCACAGCAGCTTTCCAGGGAAGTGCCTTTTTCAAAAGAACACGCCTAAGTTTTTTTGAGGAGGCATTTTTCAATCATTTTCCAAGGAACCACCCCCCCTCGGCCCCTCGCAAATTCTGCAGGAAGCGGACCAGAAACGCCTTGCCAGAGAAGAAACCAAGAAGAAGAAGGAGCAGGAGAACAAAGCGAAAAAGGGCCAGAAGAGACAGCGAAAGAGCAAGGCTGATACCATGCCCAAGCGTCTGGCTGCTTTGGAGGATGACGGCGGCCCGGGTGTCAAGGAAGTTCTCTTGTTCTCTGACCAGGCGAGCTTCCTGAAGAATCGGGACGAGAATGCTGATGAGCTGTGGGCCGCTCCGTGGGTCTTGCATGATGAGGCAAGCCTGAAATCTGCTCTGACTTCTGACGCTGCCGTGCATGGCCGCTTCATGATGTTCAGCTCGCAGTTCGAATCATCTGCCCCAGCACAGAAGCATGGCCGTGCTTTCCTGAAGATCCAGGATGGCACTGGGACACAGGTGGCGCAGATCTTGACAGAGATGCAGGGCGACTCCATGGCGAAGATGTGCAAGGATGGTCAGCAGGCCAGCGAGAGGGTCAGCAGCCTGTGTGCCATGGCCTTGGTGGGAGTTCTTGGCGGGCAGCAGACAGTGAGTGTGGCTGAAACGCCGCGCTTTTTGCTGGTGCTGGAGGGCGGCCTGGATATGCTGATCATGCCGCTGCAGACCTACTTGAGTGTGTGCTCCAATCTTGGTCCAGCCACTGACTGGACTGCTTGGTTGAACGGCGCCTACCTTCTGGAACATCTCACAGAGTGTTTTGAGACACAGTCCATGAGACGGATTGTGCTGACCGAGTATGACTTGCTGTATGTGCCGCCCATGTCAATGGTCTGGGAGGTTGGTCTGGAAAGCAAGAGCGTGTTCCTTCGCTCGTGCTGGTGCAGCTGGCGCAACTTGGAAGGTGACGTGGAAACTATGAAGCAAATCCTCGCCATGACCAATTGGGGAGAGTCGGAAAAAGTGCAGCAGCAGATGAAAGAGGTCCTGGACTACATGAACACGCTTGCCGAAGAGGACTAGTGCAAAAGACTTGATGCCACGATTGGCAATTCGGCGATTGGCATTTGGTGGAAAATATGACATCGTGTCAGGCAAGCTGTTCTGTCACGGCACGTGCGCGCTGTCATGCCTGAATGAAGCCTGAATGGGTTGCATCGAGTTTTGCTTCAGGATAAGGATGATGGTCTTCCACGCCCTGGCTTCCTTCAAGGCCATGCGCGAAGGGTGGTCTGCTTTCTTCAAGCTTTGATGAGGAGGGAAGTATGATGTTGGAGTGGTTGGGGGTCCTAACAATGGTCCATAAACGGGGGTTTTTTGGTTGGGCGGGGTCCAGCTCCGGTGTGTGCTGTAGGAGTCTTGCCGCGCCAGATCCTTCGTTCTGATAGATGTGGGGATGTTGCAGGCCCAAAAAGTCTCCCAAAAAATAAGCTCCCTGGAATTGGCGTCAGATAAGCCCTCATTGGCTTTGCAGCTGATGTTGCCTTGCTGGGTTGTGTGTTGCCTTGAGCCTTGTGGCTGAGCTTGGCGAGGCTGGGGATGTTGCGCGGCCTCTGGAGGGCCCAAAATGTCGCAGCAAAAGGCGCGACATTTTTGAACGCATCGGTTGTATGAGTTGACAGCGGCCCGGATGTGAGCTGATGTTATGATGTTAGCTTAGTGTTTAGGTCGCCGTGTAAACGCTTGCGGCCAGGAAGTAGCGGCAAGGGTGATGTTGGAGTTTGCGGTGTGCCAGATCCTTAGTTCCGCCAGATGTGAGTTGATGTTAGCTTAGGGTTTAGGAGGCTGCGTCAGTGCACGCTTTCGGCCAGGAAGCAGCGGCGAGGTTGATGTTGGAGTTTCACTATGACTGTGCCAGATCCTTAGTTCTGTCAGCGTCATGTGAGTTGTGATGTCAGCTTAGGGTTTAGGATGCTGGCGACAGTACACACTTCCGGCCAGGTCAGGGGGGCGAAGTTGATGTTGGAGTTTCACTGCGCCTCACTGCGCCAGACCCTTAGTTCTGACAGATGTGAGTTGATGTTAGCTTAGGATTTCGTATAGGGCGAAGGCGTCGCTAAACGCTTGCGGCCAGGAAGTAGCGGTGAGGGTCCCAGTGAGGGTGCTGTTGGAGTTTGTGTGCCAGATGATTAGTTGTGTCAGATGTGAGTTGATGTTGATGTTAGCTTAGGGTTTAGGATGCTGGCGTCAGTACAGTACACGCTTGCGGCCAGGAAGCAGCAGCAAGGTTGGTGTTGGAGTTCACTGTGCCAGATCCTTAGTTCTGTCAGCGTCAGATGTGAGTTGATGTCAGCTTATTTAGGATGCTGGCAACAGGCAACTGTGCGCGCTTGCGCCAGGAAGGGAAGCGGCGAGGTTGATGTTGGAGTTTGCGCCAGATCCTCATTTCTTACAGATGTGAGTTGATGTTAGCTTAGGGCTTAGGATGCTGGCTTCAGTATACGCTTGCTGCCAGGAAGCAGCGGCGAGGTTGTTGGAGTTTCACTGTGCCAGATCCGGTGGTGTCCAGGCCATGTCTGTTTGCAATTTTTGCTTTGGGCTGCAAACGCATGCAGGTCAGACCTGGCAGTTCTCAGACACGCAGTCGCAAGGCTGGGTTTGAGAAAGTGCCGGGCGCAAGTGCTGTGCAAAGTTCAAGCTACACGAGAAGCTGGGAGTGGTTGCTGCAACTTTGTGCAGCTGCGGGCTGAAGTTGGGCAGTGCGAAGTGCAAATTTGCTTCTCAAGTTCAGGCCATTGAGCCAATGTGATGCATCTAGGAGTGAAGTAAGCTCAGGTTGCAACTTCTAGGCCTCCTCCAGCCATGAAGCGACCTGCCAGTGCCGGTGCCAGCCGAGCCGCAAAGGCAAAGGCAAAGGCCGCTGCTTTGCCTCCCATGCCGCCTGGGCCAGACAACGTGGAGGACCTCTTCCAGTGGGCCAGCGCAGTGAAGACCAAGTTGATGGCTGACAGTTCTTTGTCGAACAACCTTGAGCACCGCCTAAAGCAAGGCATAGTCATTGACTCGGACCACAGTGGCAGCGGCAACGGGGAGGGCGGCTTGCTGTGCGCGTTGAAGAATGCAGGAGTGGAGGATGCTCAGGTGTGCATTCACAGTGTTTGCGACAAGGACGCCAGCTGCCAAGCTCTGCTGAAGCTGCTGGTCTCGGATGAAGGCGACGGTCCGGATGGCAGGCTTGGCCGCAACCAGCGGACGCGTGTGTTTGGAGACTTGGTGCAGCAGATTCCGCACGAGAAGCTGGAGATGCTTTATGAGATGCTGCCCAACGCAGATGAGCCTCCTGAAGTCAAGAAGAAAGCTTATAGAGAGGTGGCGAACCGCATCAAGGGCAACATGGAAGAGTTTTTGCCCAAGAACAGAACCCAGTATGACATGGTCAGCGGGCAGTTTGCGCCGGTGACACGCCAAGGCTGCGCCTCAGAGACAGTGCGCGTGAGAATTTCTGGAACAGAGTGCTACCAGTGGTCTCGCATGAACAAGAGCAGACTGCAAGACGGAGCAAGCAATTTTTTTGTGTTTGTAGTCTGGGTTTGCGTGACCCTTCGCAACCTGTCCCAGATTGTCATCCACGAGAACGTTACTGCCCATGATGAGGATATTTTGTCCGAGTTCCTTTCAGGGGCGTGCTTTGCTTCACCTTGAGAAATGCTTTCATTATGAGCAATGAGCATGTCGTGCGGTTGTATGCTGTTGGAAGTTGTAAGCTTGAGTTTTTTTGTTTTCTGTTTGTTCTTTCTTGTGCAAAGTGCTGCACTGCGTTGGCTGTCAGGTATGCTCTCCACGCCTTTGAGGTCTCTCCGGAGCACCTAGGATGGCCTGTGCGGAGGACAAGGCGGTACACAGTGGGAGTCCTGCGCAGGGGCTGGTTCTTTACTGGCGATGTGACGCGCTTTCTACAGATCTTTGGGATGTCCCCGACCTTGCTTGGCTCGGCTCCGGAGGGGGACGTGGCCTGCTGGCTGCAAGAGGCTGCCGCCAAGAAGCACAAGGTCAGCGCTGATGGCCACATCGATGCTCGCGCACTCCTGACTCCTGCTCAGAAGCGGCGGCTCAAAAACACAGAGGAGAAGATGCGCGGGCTTGAAGTGCACAGTTGGGTCTGCGACGTTCAACAGGAAGTGGATTGGACAAAGACAAACGATTTTGTTCCAGTGCTCCTTCGCGGAAGCCTTCTTTGGAGCAACACAAAGGAACGCTTGGCTTTGGCGTCTGAGCACCTCCTGTTTCAAGGAGTTCCCTGCTTCCGAAAGCTTGATGACAAGGTGGCGCCCTGCAACTGGCCACAAATCATGTGCGTGAGCAAGCAGATGGGCTTCAGCGAGCACTGCTGGAAATCTATGGCTGGCAATGCCATGCACAGAGCAGTTGCTGGGCTGCTTGGCGCATATGTCATCGCCAACTTGCGGCGCAAGGTGAAGCCGCACCCCGCCTCGGGCCTTTCCCTGGGATCCTTCCTTGTGCCAGAGCCCAAGCCGCCGACAGATGTACGAGGTGGTGGTGAAAGAGGTGAAGAGGCTCAAGAGTGTGCAGACATCAGTAGCCCTGCAGCAGGCGCATACAGGACTCCTAACAAGAAGAAGGGGGCTGGGCCGCTAGGCCGTGGCGCGAGCTGCATGAGTCTTGGGTCACTTGGGTCCGCCGCGTCCGCCAGTTCGATGTCGCCTTTTTTGAGCCCGCCGTAGATGTTGCTGCAAGCTCTGGCACTGGCGATTTGCGAGCTGAGAAAGATTCACTTGTGCATTTGCCTTTCGGTGAGCTTTGATTGCGACTTGCCACAAGCTTTTGGTCTTTCTGGTTGCGTGGCCATCCTTGGAGGTGCTCTGGCTTCATTTTGAACAGGAGGCTGATGAGGATTCGAATCTTGACAAATTCTAGGCCATGTTAGCCAAGCGTTTGATAGGCGTGTTTTGTGGCCTGCGGGCAGGTTCGCCGAGGACTTGCGTGGTGGTTGGCAGCGGCCCAAGATTTAGTTTTGCTTGCTCGTAAGCAGAGTTTGGCCCAGGCTTCCACAGGCAACTGGTCTCGGTCTCGGAAGCCCAGGCCATTGCTCTTTCATGGTGTGCCTTGAGATTTGGCTGTTGCGCAGGGAGTCCATTTGAGTCCATTGTGGCAGCCTGGCAGCTTTCCGGAGGCCAGCCATGCTGTCCAGGGACCTTCCCATTTTCAACTTGTTTTTAATGTGTTGCGATTGTTGGAAGCCAGGCTACGAACATTTGCATGTTGATCGAATCTTGAGCAACTTGATGACTTGATGGTTGGCAGCTTGAGTAAACGAGATGTTTTTGACGTTTGCCTGCTTGGCGCTTGTCTTGCCAGGTCGGGTCGGGTGGAGCGCACTGAGCGGCGGTCTTTGCAAGCAGATTGATGGCGGTAAAATGTCTGGACGCGCCGCTTAGGGTTTGGGGTGCTTCAGTGCTTCATGTCTGATGTTGTCGATTGTGGAGCTGGAGACAGTGGCGTGGAACTTTCGCGCTCTCGCGCCTTTTGCCTTTAGGGTGCTTTTGTTGTGATTGCGGGGTTGAAGGGGCTTCGGCTCGGGCTTCGGGCTTCGGGAGTTGCTTGAGATGCTTGATTTTGATTTTTGACGCGTTTCAAGAACAGACATAAGACATTGCGGAACTTGAAGCTCGCCTTGCGCTGGAACACATTTTCGTGCTGGCGCTCTTCTCGCTGCCGTGTTGCGTTGCAACCTAACCCTAACCGAACCCATCCCGATTTCCCCGCTTGTTGTTTTTTTCTTTTGGCTCATGCGCACGTGTCGCAGCAAGCGGTTTCCTATTAGGCTCAACACATAGTTTCATGTCCTTCTGCGAATACTTTGCGCATAGCCGCGTAACCAACATGATCCTACATGTATGGGCGGGCGCATCTTAGCACCCTGGCGACCTCCGTCAGTCATTGTGTTTTGCCGGCTTTGGCCAGACATCTCTTCAATGAAGCTGCAAACCGCAAACCTCACTGATCTTCTTATTCATGGCCAAAATGACGCTCCCAGCTCCCAGCCGCTGTCTAATTTCACTCTCCATGTTGCGTTGCGTTGCTGCGATTGTCTTCTTGCTCGCGCTTCTGCTCTTTGCGCAATGTTGTTGAACTTCAAATGGACACATCGGTGGCATTAGGGCATTTTGGGCATTGTCAATTGCGTAATCGTCCCAAAAGTCCAAAAGATCCTCTGGGGTTAAAGTTTCAAGTTTCTGCTTTTTTGCAAACGTAGCTTGAGGAGCTTGCTGGGGCTTGAGGGTGACCTCTGACTCTGAGGATGTGGGCCCCCACAGCTTTACAGGCTTTACATTTTTGTTGCCCGCGCAACTAGGTCTTTTTCCTCCCCAGTCCCCAACTACCCTTGTAACACCCTTGTATATGAATGGGTCTTCATCTAGGTGTTTGCGCAGGTCTGTGGCACGCTGTCTTCCAAACGGGTTGCTTGGTTGGGCAGACGCAACCGCGCAGTGAAGGCCCGGCAGGGAGTGAAAACTGAAGATTCCGCTTGTCATGGTCCTGGTAGCGGAGCCTCTGCAGCCTCTGCAAGTCCTGGCTCCTCAGCCAGGCCAGGCCAGGCCCGCGTGGAAATTGAAGAAAGCGCCGACGCCGTTTCACGGTCGCCAACTGTGGACTTCAAACCTTGCGTTCGGGCCTACCCACCCATCAGCGCGCGCGGGGGTAAACTCCCGCGCGCTGATGGGACACGGTGTGGTCGACCGTGGGCCGTCCGCCGGGACTCTGTGTGGGGAGACCAAGCGATTTGAATCTGTGATCTTCGAATTCGATCCTTCGAACTTCCAACCTTGCGGCAACTTGCGTTAGCGATTCGGGCCTACCCACCTGTCAGCGCGCGCGGGGGTAAACTCCCGCGCGCTGATGGGACACGGTGTGGTCAACCGTGGGCCGTCCGCCGGGAAAAAACTCAGTAAAGGGGAGACCCAGCGATATGAAATATCTTTGAACACCTTGCATTCGTCGATTCGGGCCTACCCACCCATCAGCGCGCGCGGGGGTAAACTCCCGCGCGTTGGTGGGACACGGTGTGGTCAACCGTGGGCCGTCCGCCGGGACTCTGTATGGGGAGACCACACGATTTGAATCAATCTGTCAGCTGCGAACTTCGAACCTTGCGTTTGCGATTCGGGCCTACCCACCCATCAGCGCGGCGAGCGCGCGCGGGGGTAAACTCCCGCGCGCTGATGGGACACGGTGTGGTCGACCGTGGGCCGTCCGCCGGGACTCTGTGTGGGGAGACCAAGCGATTTTGAATCTGTGATCTTCGAATTCGATCCTTCGAACTTCCAACCTTGCGTTAGCGATTCGGGCCTACCCACCTGTCAGCGCGCGCGGGGGTAAACTCCCACGCGCTGATGGGACACGGTGTGGTCAACCGTGGGCCGTCCGCCGGGACTCTGTATGGGGAGACCAAGCGATTTGAATCTGTGAGCTGTGAACATCCTTGCATTCGTCGGGCCTACCCACCCATCAGCGCGCGCGGGGGTAAACTCCCGCGCGCTGATGGGACACGGTGTGGTCGACCGTGGGCCGTCCGCCGGGACTCTGATTGGGGAGACCAAGCGATTTGAGTCTGTGAGAATCAACCTGTGAACTTCGAACTTCGAACCTTCCAGCCCCGCCCATCAGCCGCCAGCCTGCACGGCGTGGTCCACCGTCGAGTTGCCGTCGAGACTCCGTAGACTCCGTAGTCCTTGAGACTTTCGTGACAGTGACAGTGACAGTGACAGGCCAGGGACAAGCTGTGAATCATCTGTGAACTTGTGAACACGAAGAGACTTGAAGAGACTGTGAGCTTCCACTCGGACTCGGGCCGTATGGGGAGTGAGAGACAACGCGACGCGGCGCCGCGGCGCGGCGACTAAGCGATTTGAGATAGTGGGCATCTTCCAATCCTGAATTCGGGCCTACCCGCCCATCAGCGACGCGCTGCGCTGTGTGTTAAGACACAGGCTGTCGCAGGCTGATGGGACACGGTGTGGTCGACCGTGGGCCGCCCGCCGGGGCTCTGCGCGGGGAGACCAAACAAACAATTTGAGAAAGCTTTGACTGCAGACTTAGACTCAGCTTGAGCGATTCTTCTCAGCTTCTCATTCTCCAACGATCAAATTAAATTGTGGACTTCAAGCCGATTCAAGCCAACGTGAACAAGCGCAAGAGTCTGCGACCTGCCACAGGGTAAGCCAGGCTTTGGGGGTAGACCGGCACACCCAGCGGCGCGCTGTGTCTGTGTGTGTAAGACACAGGTCACCAGTGACTTCACCAGTGTGTCCGTGCGAGAAGACCAGGCCAACTTGTGATAGTGTGTCCAAGGCAAGAAGCTGCAGACCTTGTCAAGCCAAATCTTGCAGCAGAAATGCTGGCTGCTTTCCTACACTTTTCAATTTGCGAAAGCAGCCACCAACAGGCTGGTTAACACAGGGCATCTGTTTGACTTACGAAACCTGCAGGCTTCATAGAAGACACGCGCCGCAACCGGCCACTGCGCAAGTTAGCAGTACGAATCCCCCTGGGCCGGGGCGATGTTCAGCGGGTTGGGCCGGCGCCGACGTCGACAGAATGTGAAGGTTTTGCATTTTTTTGCTGTCACTCAACGCCGGAGTACCGCGTGCCGGTGATGTTTTGACATTTCCGGCGCAGATTGAAGCTCAGACAATTCGATAGTGCCGGGGAGGGACTAACGCCGCGAGATCGCCGCCAAGGCGCAGGTTGCACGGATCGCACGGTTCAGACACATGTGATGGTCGGGGCTCGAAGCGGGGGCTTAGTGCCAGGACAATGAGCCACGCAACCGGAGGGAAGCGTCGATGCCGGGCTGCGTCCCGGGGTGATGGTGGCAGGCGGAAAGGGGGTCTTGTCCGTGCGATTTCGTATGATTCACGCGTCCTGATAGGAACGTTGCGGAGCCAGCGGAGCCGGCGGAGCCCGGGTCGGCCTCGGACCAGGCGACCGTGGTTCTCACGGCGCCTCGCATCAACATGCCCTTCGTCAAGGAGCTGCTGGGCATGCAGGACACGTGGCAGTTGCCACTGGGGAACCTGACTCTCTCAGACCACCTGGAGTTGCTGGACGAACAGCCAGAGGCCCGCTACCACGAATCCAAGCTGGCGCAGAGGCTGATTCGGCGCGAAGTCGTCGACCCGCGCGAACCTGCTGCCCTGTAGGTTTGCGAACTGTTCGCGGGGCCGCTCCTGTTTCCCGACAGTGAGGGCCTCCTGGCAAAGAACTGCGCAGTACCCGCGCTCCACCCCGCCGTTGTGCACGCCGAGCGCCTTCTCGCAGAGTTCCCTCAAGGTTCCCTTGCCCGTCGAGCCGTCTCCGTTGTCCCTGAGCGTCGCAAACTCGATCTTCTTCGCGGCCTTGCCCGCCGCGCTCTCGAAGATGAGCCTGGCTTGAAACAGCGCCACGTTCCAGTCGCCGCCGTGCGGGTCGCGAAAGATGCTGCGCCACATTGCGTGCCCATGGACGCCGCTTCCAGCTCCTCCACAATGTCCTCGGGGAGGACCGTGACGCCATCCCGACAGTCGCCGCCCTCCGTCAACCAGGCCATGGCCTTCAGAATGGCCCGAGCCAAGCGGAGCCTATCCGGATGCTGGTACTCCATGAACTGGCGCGGGACGGACCTTGTGTTGCGGTCGGCCGTCCGCGCCATCGGCAGCTCCATGGCCCTATGGAGAGCTTCGTCGTCGTCCAAAAAGTCTTGCAGAGGAGGCGGGTGGGCGAGGAAGCTCAGCTTGTCCCCACCCTTGAAGTGGATCTGGAAGTGGTGATGGCGCTCCTGGTCCAGCGGCGGCATGCAGTCGCCGTTGTCCAGCTTGCTCAGCATCGCGCCCACCGAGGAGAGAATCGGGGCCGTATGGAAGAGCATCACGTTGTCC